ACAGGGATTTTCTCTTCTTTTTTAGGAAAATATGTGTTTTCTGAATTTAGAATTTACATTTCTATCCAGAATGTGACACATCTGTTGGCACACGGATATGGTTGCAGTCATTAATTAATAAAATTAAAGTACTACAGGCTTTCCCTAGAAAGTGACTAATATATCTACTGCTAAAAATGAGCAAAAAAATATCAAAAGTTATGCTGCTGAACATTTTTATGTATTTTATAAAAAGGGAAAGTGTGAAATAAAACCCCCCTTGAATAAAATGCTGTGGGGGTTCATGCTTTGTAAATGGGCATTCTATATTTCTCACTAGGAGCCATAAATATCCATCCGTCCATTTATCGTCACTCTTACCCCTGCTGGGGTGGCGAGGGGTGCTGGTGTCTATCTCCAGCTGTCTATGGGTGAGAGGCGGGGTTCACCTGGACAGGTCTCCAGTCCATCTCAGGGCAACACAGAGACAAACAACCATTCACACTCTTACCTAAGGAGGATTTAGAGAAGCCAATCAACCTAACAGTCGTGTTTTAGGACTGTGGGAGGAAGCCGGAGTACCCAGAGAGAACCCATGCATGCTCAGGGAGAACATGCAAACTCCATGTAGAAAAAGCCCAGGTCGGGAACAAACCCAGAACCTTCTGGGCTGCAAGGCAGCAGTGCTACCCAGGGGCGGAGCATGATGGGGGGCAGCTAATCATTGGCCACCCCTGTGGCCACCCCTACCATCTTTCTCTCAAGTATAATATTTAAAACATTTTAATTTTATATATATTAACAATTACTTGAAAACAAAAACACTGTGGCTAATTATCTACATCAATATCCAACATTAGAGGTGATTAGTACAGAATTCATGCTCTCTCAGAACTAGAGTTACAGTGTTATATGCCGTAAAGAGAAAATGATGCGTCTCTGCAAGTCACCTTAGAGTCTTCAGTGAAATCACAGATACTGTAAATAACTATTTTAACAAAAACCTACTAAATTATCAATTTATGTAGATATTAGTACTTGTAAATATCAATTTAATGTAGAATGATATTGATAAAAGTAGGTAAGTGATGATGATGGAAAAGATGTCCGCTCCGGAACTCAAACCTGAAAGAATTTTATGCAATATAGCTTTTATCTAGATGATTGTTTATAGATATTTGTCTATTTATTAGCAAGTTTTGGCCAGCCCTCAGTATACACTGGTCATTGCCTGGCCACCCTTAAAAAAATCTTCTGGCTACGCCTCTGGTGCTTCCCACTGAGGGGGCACTGCCTGGTTCTGCTGGAGGTTTCTTCCTGTTCAAAGGGAGTTTTTCCTCTCCACTGTCGCTACAAGCATGCTTAGTGCGAGGGATTGCTGAAGAGTCAATGAGTCGATGCAATCAGCTGGTTTTCCTTAGATAGAAAACTTTGAATCAATCTGACTGGATGATCTGGTGAACTGGAAAGTGACCTGAGATGACATGATGGGAATTGGAGCTATAGAAATAAACTGAATAGAATTGAATTCAGGTGCTAATAAACTGCATCACTGAACAGCCAGTAATTAACATATAAGCATAAATTATTATTTTATTACCTTAACAATAGAAATCCAGGTAATTAAGGATCCAAGAAATAAAACAATAATAAAATCTAAATATCTGCTTTTTTAATATAGCAGAAATATGTTTCAATTATTTAAAAATTTAAAATATTATTTTAAAGCAGAAAGAAAATGCCTCTAGTTGGATTAGAATATAAATCAAAGCTTTTAAAGACCATTGTAAAGACCATTTTCTTGATTCTGATAATGTTTTTAAGAGTAAACTGAAAACCTATTTGTTTAAGAAAGTATCTTTTGTGACTGTAAAATATATATTATATTTGTATTTTAATGTTGTGAAGCACTTTGTGACCTCTATGTCTGTGAAAGGTGCTATATAAATAAACATGACTTAATTGCTACTAATAGCACATATAAAGCCTGTTTGGCAAGGATTGATATATCTTAGAAAAACAAATTTAAAAAAAATGTATTATTTAATTTTGGGAGCAGAAATGAAAATAATCTTTGCCCCAGGCTGGACAGGCCTGTCAAACTCCATCAGATCAGGTGTTTGATAAAATATGGGAATCAGGAAATTGTCTTTATACCAAACTGTTCTCTACTTAAAAAACACTTTAGATTTTTAAAATTAAGCTAAGGCGGAAATTCAACTGAAGAAACTCTGATTACTTCCATTCAATCTGAGGCTGATCCGCCTCCGATGCAGCCAATCCGCTTCAAGCTACATTTCCTCGATGCCCAATCATCTTCCAGCACTCTCCTTAAAAGCCACTCCAAATCATCTCTCGGCCTGCTCTTCAACAAGCGCAAGATCTGTCGCTATGTCGGAGTTTGATTCAGACAACCCACCTCCATCTCCTTCTCCACCATCGTAGTGAGCTCATCCGACTCCTCCTCGATGCTCCTTCAACCTCACCTCCAGTGTGTACTCCCTCCAGACTTTCATGGAGTTCCCCGTCACTTTAAAGGAATAGTACACCCAAAACATGATTAGCCTTCATTTTCTACTCACCCCCATGCTGAACAACACTCTGGAGTACTTTTTTGATATCTCAAATGCATCTGGAGATCTGGGAGGCTTCTTGCTGTCTGCTGACATTCAAATAATGGAGGTCTATGGCGCCCGAGGCAGAAAGGTCCATAAAAGTCCACAAAAAACGTGTCAATATTCCTCCATACTGCTCGTCCAATGTATTCCAAGTGTCCTGAGTGGGTAGCGTCCATAATTTACTCGAAACGAAGTCATTTAGAATGTTTTTAGAGCATAAACAGTAGTGTATAGGACTTCCTGAAAGCGCGCACATGCGCGTTCACGACGCTACGGAAGCCGGCAGACCAAACCAGATGAAAGTGCGCATTCAGCGTCTGCTCTGCCAATAATGCAAGCGTAGAAGAAGAAATGTGCTGTTTACCTGTGCAAAGAAAGAAACAACGAAAGAAAAATGTCTGAGGACTTCAGTGTTGAGGAAGAGCATGAGTTGTTTGCCGAGCTGAATGCGCACTTTCATCTGGTTTGGTCTGCCGCGGTTTCCGTAGACTCGTGAACGCGCTTTCAGGAAATCCTATACACTACTGTTTATGCTCTAAAAACATTCTAAATGACTTCGTTTCGAGTAAATTATGGACGCTACCCACTCAGGACACTTGGAATACATTGGACGAGCAGTATGGAGGAATATTGACACGTTTTTTGTGGACTTTTATGGACCTTTCTGCCTCGGGCGCCATAGACCTCCATTATTTGAATGTCAGCAGACAGCAAGAAGCCTCCCAGATCTCCAGATGCATTTGAGATATCAAAAAAGTACTCCAGAGTGTTGTTCAGCATGGGGGTGAGTAGAAAATGAAGGCTAATCATGTTTTGGGTGTACTATTCCTTTAAACGGTCCGGCCATGTTGAGCCTGGTTCTGCCAGAGATTTCTTCCCAAAGGGGAGTTTTTTCTCTCCACAGTCGCTTCATGCTTGCTCTTCATGGACAGTTCATGGACAGTTTATGCAAACTTTGTTCATTCAGTGACATCTAACTCAAGCATCACCCTGTATACCAGCCTCTATGGATTAACCAAACTTCATCTATCTAAACTCCACCACCAGTTTCAGGCCCGGGGGGAATATCCTTATTCTCATACATCAGTTTATCTGCATTAAAGTATAAATCAGCCTTTATGTTTCCTGCCGAGGCCTGAGCGCCAACGTTCAAACTATTGTATCAATAAAACTCTTCTAATTGCATCTTTCTCTCTCTGTGAGTTTTTCAGATTGAAATGGAAAAACGTTCTATTTTTTATATATATATTTTAATTAAAAAACTAAATGTATAACATGGATGCATAAACACCTCATTTTATTTCAGTGTTAAATTCTGTTTAAAGTAACAGATTATAATGAAAAATGTCTCCTTTACTGGTTGATGATTTTTTTTATTCAGGCCCCCTTTGATTTTTAATTAGTGACCCCTGATCCAAGGATTAATTGAACCAAATAAAATGTGTTTCTTTCACTCAATTAATTTCTTCTAGAAGCATTTTTGTTATTTTTCTTAAAATATTCAGGCAAGTTAATGTTTCTTCACTGCAAAAAATCTGAATATAGATAAGTCATTTTTTCTTAAAATAGGTGCATTTGTTCTTGAATTGAGGAGATAAAAGAGACATTTTGCCAATAGAACAAGACAATTTACACTTAAAATAGGAAAAACACAACTGCATTGTCTTCATCTGTCACCTTGACGGCACCTCAGTCCACTGAGTGTTTTAAAAAAGGCCTTAAAACATTTCTTTTTAGCAAAACGTTTGGTCCCCCTTAGATATTTCTTTTTTCTCTTTTAAACAGCTTTTATTATTTTATTATTATTTTTTTTCTCTATTTTTATGTATTTCTTTTTTAATGCTTTTTTAAATGCTTTTTTTGTAGCACTTTGAGGCCTTTTTGGTGAAAAGTGCAGTATAAATTAAATGAATTATTATTATTATTATTATTTCAAGTGCATATTATATAATTATCCTATTTTAAGAGTAAAAATACTCATTCCATTGGCAAACTATCTAATTTACCTGCTCAAATTAAGGGTGAATACACTTAATTTAAGAAATGTTTACTTATTTCTAGATTGTTTCTGCAGTGTTATTACATTGATATTAATCTTTGTCATCAAAATATCCATATTTTTTAATCTTACAAAGGTAATAAGGTCTGGTCCTGGATTAGAATAACACTATTAGCTGGAAATATGGAGGATTTCCCTGGGATCCCTATAAAGGGTTAAAGCAGAAAGCGTTAATTAATTGGATTATTTAAACACTTGCATTAAAATAAACACTTTCATAAATTGACCGTAAATATTTCCCTTTTTTCCCCTTCCTTTTGTCCAGGGAGGCTGCCCCGTTAATCCTGTATGTAAATCCCAGCCAATGGATGCTGCTGTTGAGCTGGGCTGGGATTAGCAGGAGACGAATGAGTTTCAATTTTACTGGATTACAGAACAAAGAAAAAGGGGAAAGGGACACCCTGCTCTCTGAAAGGGCATAAACTACAAACCCAGAAAATAAAACAGAATAAAAACATCTCGGTTTGCAGGAGTCACCGGCCTGTTAGCGGAGGGATGCGGATTACGCTGTTTTAGCGGACATTGCTGGATGGGAATTGCGGCTGTTTCTGATGGATTAAAACGGGGAATAAACCGGGATTGACAGCAGCAACAAGGCTATTTAATCGCTAATTAAGGTGAGATTTTAACACTCTTTCATAATTAATCCCGGTATATCGGTGTAGTTTTTTTAGTGTAGGTTGTTTTGTGTTTAGATAAAGCGGTGGAAATGTGCGGATTATAAACTCATTTCTGGGGGAGGAGATGAAAGGCTCGCGCTAGCATGCAGGCTAACCTCTGGAAGCTAGCTGCTTAGTTAGCTTAGCTTCGTTAATTTGACCCTTAAACGGCTGATAAAGGCCGACAGGAATAACTGCGACAGAGTTCAAACTCTAACAGCAGAGGATTTTATTTGAACGGCGCCATTAAAGTTCTATAGCGGGTTTATTAAAGGTTTATTAGCCTGTCATGATCTAATGCTAACTCTGACACGAAGGTTACCAGCTAACAACAAAGCCAGCTGGCTGCAGAGGGCTGAGCGAGAGGAAAGGTTAAAGTTAGAAGAGTTTAACTGTTTTAATCTGTTATAGAAAGCTGCCATCACTCACTGGTGCTGGGAAAACTTTACTGAGTTTACAGCTCTAAGATTAAAATCTAACATCTTCCCATAAATAATATATTTGCATGTCATCTCAAGGGTCTGTACTGGTCACCAGATCATCCAGTCAGATTGATTCAAAGTTTTCCATCTAAGGAAAACCAGCTGATTGCATCGACTCATTGACTCTTCAGCAATCCCTCACACTAAGCATGCTTGTAGCGACAGTGGAGAGGAAAAACTCCCTTTGAACAGGAAGAAACCTCCAGCAGAACCAGGCTCAGTGTGAGCGGCCATCTGCTGAGGCCCACTGGGGTTCAAGGAGACAGAAGCAGACATAGAAAAAGAAGCATAGATACAAAAGGCAACTGTCAACCAGCTCCACAGGCGGCCCCGTCCAGGAAACACACAGCCAGGCAGACGAGCTCCGAGCCAGCTCCCATGTCAGAGGATGAAGAGAGCACATCCAGTGCTTGAGCTAAAAACCTGGTAGCACCTTCTGATGGTGCTGTTGTCTTTAGGAAAAACAAGTGATGCATAGCCTCCGCAACCATCAAATCTGTCTCTGTGCGTGACCACGCCCCCCGCGCAGAGGTTCTGCAACCGTCGTCACGCATGTCAAAAAAATCCTGACTATGCGTCGGACAGTCATAAACCCACGCAGACCCCAAGCGGAATTGCGCGGACAAAAAGCAGCTGTGATTGGCGCGCCATTTTTAAAAACCGAGGAACAATAGACAACTACGATGAAAGATGAATTGGTCTTTTTGCCAACTCCATTAACAGAACCTGTTTCTCTTTAATGTCTAGCAACTCTAGGTCTATCTCCAAGACTATGATATCTTGCAGACACACCATTGTTGTTTTGGAAGATAAACACTCCTAGCAGCTAGCACCGCCGAAGTTCTCGTGACCATCCGCCAAAGTTCTCTAATAGGAATGAAACTGCTGTGCGTCCCTAGAAATTCCAGACCGATGGTGCAGTAGCATACCACCAAAACCGGTTCACGCCCAGAACCAAGCGACATTTGATGGATGTGGTTGCAGAAGTCTAATCTGCCCTTCAGGCCTCCGTACATGGGTGGTGTGCACTAACCACTGCGCCACCAAAGCACGCCCCTTGAATGAATGTTTGAGAACAAAAATGGCGCCCAAGTTTAATTCCAGAGCTGATTACTAGCCATTTTTCCATCTGTTGTCGATAAAAACGAAAAATCGATAAAGAACTTGATAGCTATGGCATTGCACCAACAAAAACACAATTCTGTGTTTTTCTGTGTTTTTCTGCGGTTTATTCACGTCAGAGATCACGCACACAGGATACCGTACATCCACAACCATTGTTTTTAATGGAAAGGTGGTCGAATAATATATATAGAAATATATATAGACATATTAAATATTACAGTAACTAAATATATAAATATATTCAATTCACTTCAATTCAGTTTATTTATATAGCGCCAAATTCACAACACTTTCCAGTTCACCAGATCATCCAGTCAGATTGATTCAAAGTTTTCTATCTAAGGAAAACCAGCTGATTGCATCGACTCATTGACTCTTCAGCAATCCCTCCCACTGAGCATGCTTGTAGCGACAGTGGAGAGGAAAACTCCCTTTGAACAGGAAGAAACCTCCAGCAGAACCAGGCTCAGTGTGAGCGGCCATCTGCTGAGGCCCACTGGGATATATAAATAATCCGTGTATCATTCGTTCTTTCTATTTTCAATTGTCAATCAAAAAACAAAAAATAAAAAATTGACTGGTTATTTTGTTTTTTGTTTTTTATGGTTAAACCAAAAACGAAAAAAGGATTTGTTTTTCATATATCAATTCTAAGCTCAGATCTAGAATACGAAATGGAAAAACGGACAGCAACGCAGAGTTTGATTTTAATATTTAATCGGTACAGTTTACGTGACCCGGAAGTTTGGTGGAGCTTTAGCTAAAAAAAACAATTGGCTTACCCCCATAGATATCCATAATAAAGGCTTTATTATGGATATCTATGCTTACCCCCACCACGTTCGATCAAGCTGCACCAGATAAGGCAGTCGGACCTATCAGCCATGGACAGTTACGCTCGAGGATCCAAGCGTGTGACTCTTAAGGAGGAGGACATGACAACGGAGAAAATCAGCAGGATTTTCCAGGTATAACTTTTTTCTTGAAACTTTTCTGTGCACTGTACTTTTAACTAGCAACAACAAACAGCGTTCTAGCGTCGCCATGGTAGCCACTTCATCACCCCACTGCCTCGCAAAGAGCTATTTCCGGGTCACGTAAACTGTACCGATTAAATATTAAAATCAAATTCTGCGTTTTTCCATTTCGTATTCTTGATCTGAGCTTAGAATTGATATATGAAAAACAAATCCTTTTTTCGTTTTTGGTTTAACCATAAAAAACAAAAAACAAAATAACCAGTCAATTTTTTATTTTTTGTTTTTTGATTGACAATTGAAAATAGAAAGAACGAATGATACACGGATTATAAATATATCTGTATTAGGTATATGTAATATGTTTTCTTTGAATAAGGGTCCATTAGAACTCCCCCCACCCAACATAAAATGGTTTGACCTGGGGGGACGTCAGACGTATCCGGAGTGTTTATTGCAAAGTTCCTCCTGTCTTTATTCCAGTGTAGGATTTCTATTGTCATAAAGCTGAGCTTAATGCTTCATTTACATTCTGCTTTTTCACTACGGCTGCCCACAAGCAGGTGAAGCAACAGATTACCAGACTTTCTTCTTTCTTTCTTCTACTCTGATAAAAAAAAAAGGCTCAGATCTAATGCATCTCTAAAGTCCCGTTGATATATATATTTTCTTTTCAAAGCATTTTTCTCCATGATTCTTTTTCCAGCCAGCAGCTCCTCCAGAAACCATGCCGGGTGGTTGATAGACATAAAGCTTTACTGCGGGCCACCTATTACATCACTATTTATTTCCCTGAACTCCTGCTGCTTCTGTCAGATGAGCTCTGCTGCTTCACTTGCATGTCTTCCTTCTGCTGCCAGAGCCTTAAACAACTGCTGTGACACACAAAAAGCGTCATATGTTTTCATATTGACTTATGAGGATTCTGAGCATGATTAGAGACGGCCCCTTCTAAAGCGAATAAAACATTGGCAATGAATTTATTCTCTTAATGTTTGTGTTTATAGTAGGGATGCACGATATAATCGGCCCCCTATCGGTATCGGCCTTAAAACTGAATATCGGACATCGGCCACCCAACCGATATTTAACCCGATATTTGATCAGCTTCTGAGTTTCTAAAGTCTAAAAACAAAAAAAAACTACTTCTTCTTACTCAAAAACTTCTTTTTTACAGACTTAAAAACTTTTAAAGATGAGGGAAAAAATATTGATCCATTAAAATATCCCAATATCTTCATATGCTGATATATTGCCATTTAAAAACACCATATCAATCTCTTTTACTAATGAAATATTGCTATATGTCATCGTTATGCTACGAAATCCCCCGAAAATTCACCAAATGTTGCCATATTTTTATATGTTGATATATTGACGCGGTATCGATCTATTTTACTAACAAAATATCACAAGAATTTGCAAAATATCACGAGAGTTTGTAACAGAACGATGAAATTTCACAAGATTTTGAAAGTAAAATAGATCGATACCGCGTTTTTAAAAATCTATTTGATATCAGCATATGAAAATATATTTGAGTATATTATTTTTCAAAGTGTCAGAAATGGATAACAAAACTGCTATTTTCAATGACTACTTATTTTTGTTATCGGCTACTTGAGTTTTAAAATATCGGCATATCGGATATCGGCCAAAATCCCAATATCGTGCATCCCTAGTTTATAGTCCTATAAAGTGCACATGCAATTCCATACAGGAAGGTCGGGATTTGATCCTGCAGCCTTCAAGCTGCAAAGCAGCAGCAAAGCTATAGAAATAAAAAAGCATGGAGCCCAGATGTGTGGAATCACTTCTACTGATGGATTTTTCAGGTTGAAGAAAAAAAAAAAAAGATATGGAAAGAAATCTGGATATCTGTTATCCCATTGTTCCCTCATTCCTTAGTCGTGTCCTTCCCTTCTCCGTTTCCTTTTCTTCATTGATCCAAGGATTCTTTCTTGTTTCCTTTCCTCCCCATCTCTGTCCCCTGCAGCGGAGGTACCACAGCCTCCACCGGGGTGAACATCCAATCAACAACAAATAGGAATAAATAATGCATCTGTCCTTTGCATCATACCTGAGCGTCCGGAGGAATAATCAATGGATCATTATTTATACCTTAAACTAATACGTTCACAGTGATTTAATGAATTTAGAGTTAATCAGTAAAAACTTTTGCGACCAGTCTGGGAGCGGCCATTTTTGTCCAAATCTAGTAGCCCCTCCCTCCTGCCATCTTCCAGCAGTGACGTCACGGTGTGGTAAGCCTAGCGCCATTCTCCCCGCTTTACAAGCTAAATCAATGGGAACTACTAGACACATCTGCAATCAACAACAATTATTGAAGATTTCCAGAGGACTTCACCATTGA